AGAGAAAAAGGAACGAGGGTTCCATCTAATTGTGGAGTGGGCTTAAAAGCGGGAAGAAGAGTGGAGACTTCACCTAGGACTGAGCAGAGGTGCCTGCAGCTTACTAGGCCAGGCTGGAGCACCAGAGAGCCTGGCATCCCAGCAGCTACGACCTGGGTTCTGTCCTGCCCGAGCCAGGAATACAGCATAGCTCCTGGACCCTGGCTGGCACAGGCCTGGCACAAGAAGCAGTGCCTTAACCTGTCTGAGACTGGGCCCAGGACCCGAGGAACTTGGGATCAGGCCTGGCCCAGAGTGGGACTCTCTGGTGGCCCAGAGCTGGTCACTGGGGAGCTGTCCTTCTGCCCCAGACCCACAGGTACGGATGTGTCGCTGCCCACTGGAGCACCATGACGGCAGGATGACCTCAGCGGAGGCAGTGGCAGTGGCCAGTGGTGCTCGGGTGGCTGGGTCCCCCGAGTGGCCCCCCGACACTCCCCAGGCCCTTGGTCGGCCTGGCCGGGTCAGGGTGGCAGTGGCAGCGCTGGTGTGGCTGCTGGCAGGAGCCAGCATGTCGAGCCTCAACAAGTGGATCTTCACTGTGCATGGCTTCGGGCGGCCCCTCCTGCTCTCAGCGCTACACATGCTGGCAGCAGCATTGGCATGCCGCTGGGGGGCACAGCGCCCCATGCCCAGCCGCACCCGCCGCCAAGTGCTGCTGCTTAGCTTCACCTTCGGCACCTCGATGGCCTGTGGCAACGTGGGCCTGAGCGCTGTGCCCCTAGACCTGGCACAACTGGCCACCACTACTACACCACTGATCACGCTGGCCCTGTCAGCGCTGCTGCTCGGCCGTCGCCACCACCCGCTACAATTTGCTGCCATGGGCCCACTCTGCCTGGGGGCTGCCTGCAGCTTGGCTGGTGAGCTCCGGACACCTCCTGCTGGCTGTGGCTTCCTGTTGGCTGCTACCTGCCTCCGTGGCCTCAAGTCCATTCAGCAGAGTGAGTGGTTGAGGAGGTGGGGACTGGGGTGGTTGTGTGGCCTGGGTCATCCTGGGAGGGGCATGGCTGTTATCCCATTTTCCAGATGAAGAAACTGAGGTTCATGACTTTGGAAGAGGCAGAAACTGAGACTCAGAAAGGGCCAACAGCTCAGTGAATTCCAGGCCCCAAACTTAGGCTCTAGACCCCAACTGATATTTAATAATAGTTGCCGTTGATCTGTGTCTCGTGTTTTTTCAAGCCCTTTATCTCTTTGGATCTCCATACTGCCCTGATTAAGGAAGGCACAATATTGTTCCCACTGACAGGTAGAGAGACTTGTCCTGGGTCATGTGGCCAGTGAGCAGCAGAGACAAGATCTGAACCCAGGCAGTCAGACTCCATGCTGTCCAAGTGATGTGGTATAAGGCTGTGGACCCAGAGGGGAATCTGATAGTGGGGACCTGGGAGAGAGAAAGAGGGCAAGACTTTGAGCTGGGATCTGGGAGGTGAGGTGATACTTAGTGGGAGCTGCAGTGTAACAGGCCCCATGCTGGGTGTTGACCTTGAATTGTCATGGCAACCACCACCTTCATCCCTGTTTTATAGCCCATGGAACTGAGACCTAGAGGTGCCCCGGGTCACCTCACCTCTGAGGAAAGGAGCCAGGGGGCTCTGGGAGAAGGTGAAGTGGAGGCTCCAGGCCTAGACCCTGCCAAATCACTGTGTCTGACGGTGGAGGATGCCTTCCTGTGGCTTATCAAGGGGCATCCAAGTCACAGTCCTCACTCTCTCTCTTCCTCAACTGAAGGGAGAGGCTGGGGAAGGCAAGGTGCCCATTTGGGGTAAGAGGCCTGGGTTCTAGCCACACCCTTGTTCATACTTGTTGGTCAGCCTTCAGCAGATCTGGGTCTTATCTGGGCCTCAGTCTCCTTATCTGTTCAGTGGAGGAGGGTTGGAGTTGTTGGGAGTCCCAGGGGTCTCTTGCTCTCTCTCCCTTCCAGCTCTGAGATCTGTGACCCAAGCCTGGGAGAAGGAAGAGGGGGCTCCAAGGGTGCTAGGCTGGGGTTTGGGGCAGCCTGAAGGCAAGAGAAAGTTGAAGTTAGAGCTCAGCCCCTGCCCTGGCATCTTCAGAGCCAGCACTCAGAGGCCTTGTCCCCATACTGGGCCCTGAGGCATGGCCAAAGCTCAGTTCTATTTTTGCCCTCCCAGTTACATGAGAGCTGGTGACTAAGCTCGGGCCTGAGCTCTGGGCAGGAGTTGCAATGGGAAACCTGACCTCTTGCCCCCCCACCTTACCTGGGAAGGCCCCAGCTTCCAGGCCCATGCCATGCCTGCTGAGGCCAGTGCTTCTCGCCCAGGCCACAGGCACACAGGCACGGAACAGCAGGTGCCTGGCATTGGGCTGCTTCTTGGCTGCTGCCAGCCTTCTCTCTCAAGTGTCAACTGCCTGGCCCTCGAGGTGGCTTGGTTGGGTGCTTCCTCCAGGCTTCCACAGCATCTTCTACTTCCCCTATCACAACTCTGAATGTCCTGTATTGTAGCCACTTGGTTACCTGTCTGTGTCCCCCCAGACAGGAGCTCTGAGTGGGCATGGACTGGTTTTGGGCGTCTCCTTGTCCCCAACACCTGGCCTGAGGCCTGGAACAGGGCAAGTACTCCTTAGGTGGTGGTGTTATTAATGGCTCTGACAGAATAATTGGCAGGCTGGTTAGGCTACATGGCCTAGAGTGTTAAGGAGGGCGCTTGGGAGGCTGGAGGCCTCACTAACAGAGGTGGGATGGGGAGAAACAGACTGGAGCCAGGAAATGAGTTGGGTTTTGGACAAGAGGAGGTGTCTACTTCCAGGGGTTCCAGATTCAGACTAGAGTGTAAATGACAGATATCAGCTCCTTTCCTGAGAGCAGACTCCATGGCAGTAGGCATGAAAGTCCAGGAAGAGGAGCATCCAGGCAGCCACAGGCAGGGCCAGTAGCTTCCTTCCGACCTGGGCCAGTTGCAGGCCCAGGGGTCTATACTCACAAAAAGACTGGAAAGTGGGGGGGCAGCTTGCTGAACTTGCTTTTAGCTGTACCCACCTGCATCAGAGAGCAACCTAACCTGATCCCTGCCTGAGCTCTCCGGCTGGTGGGGAGATGCACTCAGAAACAGAGATTACTATGGCAAGAGAAAAGTTCTAGAGCCAAGGTGGGCACAGGTGTGGTCAGGGGTGGTTTCTTCCTCCTGGGGAGACCAGGGGAGGCTACCTGGGGGAGGAGGCATGCAATGATGATAAAAATAAGATCATAGTAGTAGTGAACACTTGCTGAGCCCTCACTATGTGCCCCCACTGTGCCCAGCTCTATGCAGGAGGGCATTCTGGGAGTGGGAAGCAGACCTTGCCAGGGCACAGGTGTCAGCTAGCAGGAGCTGTGTGGGGGATCATGACAGCTGTCATAGTGAGCAGTTGCTGCTGGGCACCAGTCCCTAAGCTCAGCATCTCACACACTCCAGTGAGGGGGCTGTTGTCACCTTCCCCAGGCACACATGAGGAGACGAGACACAGAGTGACTTGTGTGATGTCACACAGCAAGTGAAGGAACAAAAATGGGATAAGCCAGCAGGCAGTGGAACAGAGGGTCTAGAGGACATGTTTGTCTGAATGTGGCAGAAGCCTGGGTGTGTTCAGATGCTGAAACAAAAATGCCTTTAGAGAAGGAGAGGTTGAGATAGAGGGTTTGGTGGGGCTAACAGGGGAGAGGTCATTAAGGAGGCAGGATGAGAGGCTGGCATTTGGGGGGGCTTGGGTGGGGTGAGTGGCCTGTGGTGGAGGATCATTGCTTTTTCCCCTGGGCTGCAGGGAAGGGAGGCAGAGGGCTGGGTGGGATGTAGAATAGGCACAAGGGGCTGGGGATGGTGGGGGGAGGTTAGGACTTTCCTCCCTGGCTGCCTCACAGAGGTGAAGTTCACCTGAAACCCTAAACACCTTCCAACGATTGGACCTTAGACGTACAAGCCACACACTGCTTGTAATGGTGCTAAATTTGGAGTGAATGAGCAGGAGACATTTCAATTATCTGTTCATTTCTAGAAACGCTGGAGGAACTGTTGCCTAGAGAACAAAGCCAAAACATCAAAATGAAATCGAGAGAGAGAAATACAGTTTTCCTCTTCTAGCCTATGAGTAAGCACCCCTTGTAGCTCTTTGGAAAGCGTGTGTCAGAAAATGCACAGAGGCTCCAAGAGCCCTGGGAGGGGGGCCTCCATCGATTACTCATCTCTCTCCACTAAAGCTTGGAGGAGGCCCCAAAACATCATTGCCCGTGCAAATACTATCATTTCACCGAAGCAGTGTCTGACTTTGGTGATGGGCACTGCTTCCTTTGTGAACCAGCTGGGCAATAACACATATGTGCACACACACACACACACACACACACACACAC